AAAAAAGGGTTCAATTCCGCTCATCAATGTCCATGTGGTTTCAACAGTAGCTGGGATACACATGGCGACAGATGCTTCGGCATTTGTTGTACTTGTGAGGTTTCCTGGAAAGAAGAACAAGGGGAACAAGCAGCCTGACAAGCCGGATCTTGATTATTTGGACCAAGCGATCTTGTGCCAAGCAAAACATCGCATGCGTTTTCATCAGGATTCCATCTATCGTTCTACGTTCTACAGCGTGCGTGAGCATTTCTGGAACAGACCTGATGCATGCGCAGGAGACCATGATCGCCAAAGGTGAGAACAATGAAGACCTGTATCAACCAGCGGAATGGAGAGCAGCTCGTGAGAAAGTCTTGCGGAATGTGAAAGAGGCCAGACCGCTCTCAGTGCTTTGCCAGCCTTTTTCGCAAGTCCGCAGGGCTGATATGGGTGTGTATGAACACTAGGGAGACCTCCCAGGCAACGACTCCCTGGAAGGTTCAGGAAATAGACCAGTGTGGACCAGTCTACCCCGAGGGCCAGGGGGTCTCCCATCGAACTACACACCCGGCATCGTCGAGTCGGGAGGTGTGCGAGACGGTGTGCCCAGTGGTGAGAGAAGTTGGCTCTGCGGCAAGAGGAACCGACCTGCCCTGTTCGGACATTGCCTCGTGGTCGATGCACAAGAGAGGTTGTGGGATAGTTTTTGGTCACAAAGTGTTTGAAGCTACCCCAATCTATTGGCCTAGTTCAGGGAACTGGAGGAGTGGCTTCAATTTCTTTCAACAGATTGGCAAAACCAGCATTGCTGGCATGAACCTTTGAGATGTGGGCTTGTTTGGCTTTGGCAACAAGTGATCAAAAAGACGACTTTGTCAACAGTAGTGGTTCTTCCATGCGATTCCGTTAGCCTTCATAGAAGCTGTTTCTTCAGGTTGCTAGCAAAGGTCCAACTTCTCAAAAGAAAAGCCGGCCAACGATTTGGTTTGCCTATTCAACTTCTATGATCCAAGGGGAAATCATGCGAGACGTGCCTCTTGTCTGCACAATGACACGCCGAGTGTTGAAGTGTTGACTGTGGTTTGTTTACAGACCACCATAGCTCGTCTCGCCAGAAAAGCCTGTGAACTCCGAGGTTGAAAAAGCTTTGTGGAATTTGTCCGATTCGATTGAAAGGACAGAGTGACATGATGCATCGTTTTTTCTTGTAAGATCAAGATCGAGCCTCAACACATTTAGGCGGCAAGTGTGCTTAGCGAAAGTAGAGAATTTGTTGTTTGGGCTTTCCTGATAGCGATGCTTAGCATCAGGAGAGATGACTATTTCGATGATGAGGATGATTTTGAAGGCGGACACGTTTGCCTGGATGGAAAGTGGATGTGCAATGGCAGAGTACATGAAATCGAAGGTGGGCCAGTTGACAGAATGCTTGATATTGGTGAGACTAAGGATCATTTTCAAAGCCTTTTGTTTTTGTGCGCATGTTGATTCAAGCATACCAAAGATTCTTTGCTTCAAACATTGACTTCAATCTGTGCGCAAATTTCTTCGCAACCAGTGCACATATTTTGTTGCTAGGGCTAGGGCAAGTTTGTTTGAACTTTCTGTGACGAGGACGCTTCATACAATGGGCCAACGGAGAAGTTGCTATGTTCGAGCAACTGCCTGACGGGATAGTCTGCGGAGAAGAAAGGGCAAAGCTGCGGAGCACCGCCTTGATTTGGTCCAAAGAGACGTGGGTGAGGAAGACTTGGTCGAAGGCAAACATCGAAAGGAAGTGGCCGGAGCCAGCCCCAAAGCCAATGATTACTACCATCAAAAAGGTGTCAGAGCTGCGCTACGCATCTGACACAATCAGTGATGAGTTCTGGGACGGAAAATCTCTCAGGGGCCTGGTGGATGACATTACTTCCTACACGATAAACCTGTCCACTCATGAGAAGATGATCCTAGACTGTGTCGAAGTTCCAGTTCGTCGGTTTTCCAAAGAGAGGCAGTGGGATCAGTGGGTGGGAAGCGAGGCAGGCTGCCAAGGAACGATCTATTGCTTGAACAACCGTAGGCTGTGGTGCATCAAGGAAAGCTCAGAGAAGATGGGCAGGGATCTTCCAGTGAGGGTGAAGATCTACCGTTTTTCCGATTGTGCCGGATTCTGGCAGTCTCGCATTACTACAGTCAACGGTGGGCATCGGGTTTCCATCCGTAGATTGCAAGAAGACTCAGATTTGCCAACAGGAGATATGCCAGAGAGGATGTACATAGCAAAATCCAAACGCAAATCTGAGTACCTGCACTTGATCGTAGATGGATTTCATGTGGATGTGCTTGCCTCTTGCACTCCAACCCTTTGTGGAGAAAGGCTCGCGGATGCTTTACTTAACTAAGACTTTGGAAGGCGCAATGTGTGGGCAGCTGTCTGTGCTGCAGCACAGAGCCAGCTCCGATGCCGTCCGCATGAGGCAAAGGCAATCAAGCTAGCAAAGCTTTGGTCTTGGTATGTGGCCTTTCCAGCCTGGGATGAGAAACTCCGGCCCCGAAGCTTCTTGATTGAGCTCGTTGTTCGACATGTTAGTGCTTCAAGAGAAGGTGCCACAGGAAGGGATGGAGGATGTGCTTGGGAGATATTTGTCGACTTTTTGAAGGTTGTTGCAGCAAAGAAGATTCCACCGATCATGTTCAATTGGGCCAGCTTGAGCCAACATCCAAAGGTGAAATGGGGCAGTGGCCCACGAATCATTGATCCAGTGAACCCAACTAACAATGTTGCCAAGCCCTTCAGGTCTTGGGGGCTCTTGAGAAAGTACGCTCGCATTTCATTGGAGAAGATCAAGAGATGTGATAAAGCATGGACACCAAATGTCCACTGCAACTGTAATGTGGGTAACTGGAGTGATGAGGACGATGAGAGCTTCCAAGATGTGCCAAAGCTGTCGCCTCCTAATCCCCAGGAAGCATGTCGAGTCCTGAAAAAAATGCAACTTCCAGGCCCAGCCGTGGAGAAGCTGCTGAAACATGGCTTTAAGTCCTTGGAAGTTTTGTGCCGACTTGGTCGGGAGGCTGACTTTGTGGACGCGGGCATGAACAAGGTGGAAGCACGCCTTTTGGCTGAAGCTTTGCAGAAGGGGGGTTGGATCTTCCGAAAGTTGGAAGCAGAGGGCCGCTTGCCGCGTGACCGCGCCAGCACCTCGCCCCCGCCCGCACAAGCCAGAGCAGGTGTGCGCGGTACCGAAAGCGATGAAGAAGGCGAACCAGATCAAGTGACCCCGAACATGTCGATTCGATTGATGTGCTATCCGGCAGGGTCGCCAGATGCCAGATGCCTTTTGTTTGGGACATTGGTTCCTGTCTCGGCCGGCTTCGTCCCAGTAGAGCAGCTGCAGCCACTGCGTGATCTAGTGAAGAGTAGGAACCGTCTATTGAGTGTCATCAACGTCACGATACATGATTCAGAGCGCTGGTGGCTTGTTCAACTCGAGGCTGAAGGGGCCAGGCTCACAGTGACAGATAGCCATAGGATAGTTTGTATCGAGAAAGGACGTCGCCTTGACAAGCCTGCAAGGGACCTTGCCAGAGGAGATGTGGTGCAGACCACTTTTGGAGAATACAAGCTTTCAAGCGTGGAGCACCTTTACGAGCCTGCCAAGGTGGTAGAGCTCACATTGAGTCCCGATGAGGCCTTTGAGGCCTTCCATCCTCCTGCATCCATCCTGTCCAAGGGGCAGGCCTGGGAAGCACCGTTGGACATGTTGCAAAGCTTGTTTTCGTTCTTTTTTTTGTACAGAATGCAGATATCCAGGAAGACGAACAACACAATGCAGAAACTGTTCTATATTCACACATGCAAGCATGAAGAAACTGATTTGGTTCATCACTACCACTGGGCGTTTGAATGTACCTTCCACGAGCTAACGAGGGACTCATCCAAACATGTCCAAACAAGGTCCCTACAAAGTTCATGGACTTGGGCAGAGACCTTTCTGAACACCTGCAAGGCGCATAGCAGCCCCAGCAGACCACTGCCTGCAGCTGAAGGGGCAAGGTGCGACATGCGACATGTCCCAAGATGTTCTTCTGCAGCCAGAAGTTGATAAAGCTCCGGAAGCTGGTGGAGTTTTAGACTTTTGTGTCGGGAAAGACAAGGGAAGGCGATCATCAAATCCCGACCGAATCTTTCAGCTAGCGTTAGATGACTGAACGTGCTTAATAAGTTGAAGAAACAGTGATACAAAACAGGCCGCATGAACTCAGCTGTAGTTTGCTCAAAGTCCATTGGGTTTCCATTGTCCCTTCCCTCGTAGTCTGGAATTTGACCTGGGGCGTGTGCCAGACCCACAAGACGCGGAGGGCAAAATCTCCGAAATGCCACTGCGGCAGCAAACCGTTGGATGCGCTCAGATGCTTACAGCCATGTGGATACGGCATACAGCAGTCACTTGTCCAGACTTGTGTTTGTCACAGCGTGATGCATCTTGATTCTGGAGGGTTTTGATATTACTTATGTTCCAGTCTGTCACGTCTCTGGATTTGAAGGGAGCTTGCCAGGAGAAGTGATAA